AGGATACATAACCTCACTTGTGACTGCACTTGGTTTATACACATTCTATTATTCACATTGTTACACCTTTTAAATTTCTGCAATTCGGCATCCACAAGATCACTGTGAACGATTAATCCAGAAATATTACATCTGCGTTGCACCTTTGCATTTTCCACACTTATATATATATACCGCTGAGAGTTGGGTGCGAGAATCACTTCCTATAATCTTAGAAGTTTTCATTAGTACATACGTATACAAATATATAAACATACTAGCAGATCCGGCGAACTTCATTGCGCCCATAATTAACTTTTTTATTGAAACATTTGGTCCAACGTTTTCGCCAGGTCGACAGAAGGCATATCCTCCATTGCCATCTTAAATAACCCGACGAAAACGTTATACCGGGAAGAATTCCTTGCGGCTAGATAGTGAATCGTCCTTGAATCTGTATAGTTGGTGGCAATTTCTAAACTGGTGAGTATCATTGCTCTACATTTTGTTTAGTCACCGTAAAGCAAGGACCGCAATGGTTTTGATGGAAAGAAACTATCACGCATTCGTTATACAGAGAAAATGCGCAACATCATAAGCGAAAAAAATTCACAGAAATCAACGGTAACTTATAGCCATTTAAAACTTGCACTTTATGATACTGAAATTGAGTGAACTACAAAACTGCATACCGAAAATTTTATGCCATTTGATGCAAAATGAACTATATTTCTATAAAAAAATAACAAACAAATTTATTATGGAAAAGGAAAAAACACTGTATTTTGGGTGTATATATCTACAGATAGGTAAAAGTTTCAATATGTTTGGAAAGCTCGAAGTCCCTTTTCCAGTAGCCCCAAAATGTCTATACCAATTTCCAGGACACTACCACAAATACTTTCAGAGATATACGCTATGAAAAATTCGATATGTATGGGTGATGCTACGCTCCCTTAATATATCGAAAGTCTGCAGGTGTCCAAAATTTCAAAAAAATCGGTACAGCCGTTCGCGAGATCACCTCTTATAAAAAGAAGGAGCTTCACTTTATATAATTAGTGTAGGCAACACAGGACAACACCGATTCTGGTGCGGCAAATGTTGAAGCTGTTTTTAATAGGGTTTTTTGTGCTGATTAGGAATCCGTAAGTATAAAGTTTCCATCAGCTCCAGATTTTGAGAAGCTCTAGCAATGAAACAAAAGGTGATAGAACCTTCCACTTAGGCTTAAATTAAGACTTCGACTTCTGTCTTCAATCCCTGAAAACACCATTCCTGCACCTTGACCTTAAGGTTACATATAATGATTTATTGAACAGCTAACACTAATTTGTACACCATTTTTGACGATAAAAACTAAATGAGTAGGTGACCATCAGGGCAAGGTGCAGGAATAGTACTTTCGGTACTTGTTTCTTGTTATTCAGGGATGGTAGTCTGTAGTCCTAGCTTTAATTTAAGCCTACGTGGAAAGTTCTATCACCTTTTGCTTAATTGTGGTAGGTACTCAAACTTCCCAAAATCAGTTATTCCTGTTCAACAAATGACTATAAGTGACCATCAAGCAAAGGTGCAGGAGTTTGCAAGGATTGTATTCGAGATTTTTAGCTTTAATTAAAGCCTAAGTGGAAGGTTCTACCACCCTTTGTTTCTTTGCTAGAGCTTCTTAAATATTAAAAAAAACGCGATATTTTTACACTTTGACCTGGTTTTTCTTAAAATCTGGAACTGATAGAAACTTAATGCTTACGGATTCGTAATCAGCACATAAAAATTCGGCAAAAATAGCGTTAACATTTGCTGCATAAATTTTTTCCCCATTTTTGTTGGCCTTTGTAATAAGTATTGTTAAAAAGCCAATACCTGCATATTTGCGCCGCCTTCAAACACCTTTCGAACTGTAAAACAATGACTCGATTCTATTCTTCGCATATCTATAATGCGGGTATCGAATTTCAAGCAAATCGAACCATAAATAAGATTTTTT